TAAGCCTGGACTACAGTGGGGATCACTCTGGTGCTATAATTTCAAGGAAAGTGGGCTTCAACAAACCGGTGATTTTTCAATAAAGAGTGGAATTAGTTACACAATGATATTGTGGTGAAAACGTGACATGCTCTGTGACCTTGGGGAAAGGTTACATCTGTCTCCTTCAAGTTCTTCAACTATTAAATGTGAATGATAATAATAATGAAGCCTTAGGGTTGTTGTGATAATTAAATGAGTTACTATATGCACTATTCCCAGAAAAGTATCTGGTACAAAGTACTTACTTATTCTTATTGTTGCTATTTTTAATGTACTTATTAGTACACACATGCAGTATGTAATGTTTACATTCCTTGGGGCAGTTGGTAAACATAGAGAACACATCTCCATTCCTTTTTTTTTTAATCCCATTTTCCCTTCCTTACCCCCCTTCTCCCTCCACCTCTTGATCACCTAATTTGAGAAACATTTATCTCCCTGCTTCCTATTATGTAACTTTTTGCGCATTTATAATTTGTGCTTCTCGTGTAAAAGAAAATAGCATTTTCTTGGCTGAAGGTTCAGAGAAGAATACGACTTTGGATCTTTTCTCACATGAGAGTATGAATGCTAACTGAAACTGGCAATTTTTGTCTAGACATGTAGGACATGAAGGACTCTAACATTTGAGCTTCAGTTTCCTTAGACTTCTTTGGCCTTGGCCATTTTATGAACTTCTGATGACGACACATTCTCTGTATTGAACCATATATTTGGTTTCTTGAATGCATTTTATTTCACCTTACTATCTTGGCTCATGTTTAAAATACATTTTTCTAAGTGGTCTAGCTGGAAAATTCCAAGTATCACTTAAGAATCAATTCAAACATCACCTGCTATAAAATTATTTTATTGAACCCCCTGTTCTATGTCACCCCTGGAATTCCTGCAAACTGCATATTTGTCGTTTGTCACACTGTGCTGCAATTGCTTATCTACAGAAACTTTTTTGCCTTCCAAGGTAGGACTTTTTGAAAATAGAGAAAAATATTTATGATTTTTGCAAACATAATGCTTGCAGCATAGCAGGTGCTAGTGTTTGGGGAGTAAATTAATGAAAGGGAGATTATCTGCTGTTTACTTGATGTACCATGATAGGACTGCAGAAAGTAAATCCAGGACCTGTGTTTGAAGTTTAAGCAGGTTTATTCTTCTTAAAACAAAACACTTGATGATTTTTGTACTTAGGGAATAAATACATCTTTGAAGAGAAGTAGATTTGGTACTGTAAAGAATGAACTCGTGTTTCATCTTAGAACAGAATACTGTGTAATCAGTCACTCCATCAATAAAGTAATTGAATTGACTCATGAAAATTGCAGTTGAACTTAAAGCTGGAATTAAATATTCTGCGATAAAATGTAGCCTTGTATCACAACTGTCTATGTCTGATATAGATGAAAGCATATACGTTTTTTCATAAAATTTCAAATGGGTCATGAAAATATACAATTCAAACCTAGATAACACAGATGATCCAAAATTTATCACAGAACTAATTTTTAATATAATCTTCAACATTTTAAAGATATTTATGGGAAAAGAAAATTTTACACAAACAAAGCAAAGTATAATCTGTGCCAAACCATGCTCATAAATTTTGGTCATAATGTAAAATTGAATAAAATAAAATGCTGTTTCAAAGAACCTTTTAAGATAATTTACAAAAATCATAATAACAAAAAAGAAAAATAACAGGTTAATAGAGTTAGGAAAATTGGAATTATAGATTTATTTTTAAAGAATTTCTTCTAGTTTATTTGGAATTATCTCTAGAACTGTGAGCTAAAATAAAAAATTGGCTGTGTTTCCAATTACCAAATAGAAGAATTGAAATATATTTTATAAGTCTTATAATAGAAATATATTATGTCTATTATAATAGACATACAATAAAATATTATTTATATATGTGTATGTATATATATGTGTGTATGTGTATATATATATGTATGTATATATGTATATGTGT